ACTTTTTGGATGGATATTACAATGCAAGTCTCGGAAGGCGGCGACTCGCTAAATATTAAGGGTGTGCAACCAGACCAGTTCTACCTGGGAACTAGACCGGTTTCCTAATCGGTTCCATAATAGTAAAAACCCTAATTTCTCTGTTTCTAATCTTTAGGTTGAGGTTTTATATGTGCAATATAACTACGTTGTTTGTTTTGTTTTTATGTGGCTAAAATTTGGAGCAATATTTTTTTGAATGAACGAGGAATGGAGTTTTATAATTTATGTTTTTTGTTATGTGTTTCAATTTTTTATCGTTTATAATTGTACGTGATTACATGTTTATCTTATGGATTGTTGCTTTTGGCAAATAGGAATTTTTGTTGTTCATATTTTACTTTAATCGTTTTATTGCTCATATTATTTTGCTGTAAAAAAATGAAACCAGGAAAAAAAAAAAACGAAAGAAAAATAGGTTCTTGAGTATACCCTAGAAACGGACCAAAAAATAGGGTGAGTTCCAAAACTGATTCTAGGGAAAATAAGGTAGGTTCTAAGTTCTAAAAATTAAGAACCGGTTTAAAGGTATCCACCCTGGAACCGATCACCCCTACTAAATATGCCTCTTGTTCAACGTGCAAATCGTGATTTTTTTTTTAGTGAAAGATAATTGTATTCATTGCTCAAATGAATACATCATAAGTACATAAACTTCATAGCAAAACAAACCGAAGGAGAGCAAAACCCATAATACTGCAAAACAAAACAAAATCCAGAAAAATAAGGAGAATTAACAGAGGACTAGTAGGGTTGAACACACATTCATTCAACAAGAACGGATCTGTCAAGCAAAATAATCGGTAGCTAATTATTGGATCTCAAGCAAAATAATCAGTAGCTGATTATTGGATCTCATATCTTCATCAGTGATGGAATAATTTAATAGTGGGGACAAAAAGATGGAAGAACGGTCAATTGGTAGCAATGTGAAAAAGCTTAGGACTGAATTGGTACAATAGGTTTATGACTTTTTTGGAATTTTTCCCAGTAAATGTCAAATATTGGATATTATGTGATTCTTTTTTTTGATTTTTAATGATTCCATTCTTCTTTAAATCCTATTTTTTTCACAAATTAAATTAAAAAAAGATATATATGTATATATCGATCGAGAGAAAGGGAGGGAAACTAAATCGCTTTACAATCTAGGAATATAGATTTGAAGAAATGGGGTTGCAAAAGAGGTCGAATGCGCTTTTCATCATATGTCAATCCCCCTATACTTTGAATATTGAATATTTATATTAAATTTTAAGTTAGTTACTTCGAAAAGCCTTGCGTATCATATATTAATAAATAATTAACAATGTAAAGCAAAATAGTGTAAACACGGTTCACGTGAAACGTTCGAATAATTACCAATTAACCGAGCATAAGAGGTATGATTATATTATCGGAAAATTCAATTTAAAAACTAAAATCTTAGTGTGAAAGTGACCACATATATAAAGTCATTGTAGTACCTCGTCAGCCAGCCATTTATGATGATGTTTCGTAAAAAAGAAAAAATAGATACGATGAAGATCGTGAATATATCCTTATTATTGTAAGATTTTATGGGACCACTGTCAACTGCTATAAAAGCGAGGTTTAATATTTAAATATTTAAATATTTTATCACTCCCTCTCACGCTTTGTCTAATCTTTGTTTTTTTTTGCTTAGTACTAAGCATTGACATATTTAAATATTTTATCGCCCCTCCTTCACGCTTAGTCTAGTCGTTTTTGTTTTTATTTTTTTGCCTTATACTAATCGTTGACATATTTAATTGGGGAGGCAAATGAAGTCCGGAAAGATTTGGAACTCGGGACCTCCTGTTCTCATACTACGTGAAATTTCGTGGGACCACTACCAAGCTGTTCTAAAAATTTAATCTGTTAAATGAACGGGCGATTTAATATTTAAACTTTCATTAATTACAAATATCACAATCGTTTCGAGAGGTGACAAAAACGATGGATTTGTCGTCTATAATCTTCCAAGCGAAAACTCTCTGGTCTTTTCTTATCCAACCCCAGCTGTCGCATGCAGACGAAAACGTTGGAAAATGGGGGGTGTGTGAATCACGAGCGGTCGGCGATATGTCGGCCGATCCTTTGCTCCAATCGTCCTACAGAAATCAGGTACACAAACTACCTTAAGATTTTTCCGAACCGGGACGGCAAAGTTGGTCCGGGAGTTCAGCTCGTGGGGTTGCAAAAGCAGGCCGACTTTTACTGCAAATCAAATGATGAGAACAGGAGGAGAAATTTCGCGTGACAAGGTGTCGAGTCCAAGTTGGTTGGAGTGGGGGTCAGCTCGCAATTTCCATGTAACTTTCAAGAACTGATTGATCCAAAATCTAACTTCCCACCTGTTAATTTCTAATTGGGAAAGACTCTAAATCCCACCATAACTTTTGTAGCTGAGCGATCAGAACTGCCCCGTTTGAAACGATTGATGTGGATTGAAGACGGGGACGCGAGGAGATTTGGAGAAGAAAAAGGGCAATGGAAGGAGTGGTAGCGACAGAACAAAAGCAACCAAGCCCACGGATTCACACATGAGGAGGTGAAAGAGACGGTCCACAGGAATGAGTTTGGGCATCGTTAGATATGGTAGTTCTTGAACCGCTATAACTTTTTCTGATTAGGGATAAGCTTTCGGGCACAAAGTCCAAAGATATCGGGCGAGATTAAGTTCGCAAGTTTTGGTGAAAGGAGCGATATTTGATATAAAGAGGCCCCAAGACACACTCAAGAGAAGGTCTAGTCGATCTCGGCTTTTACAGAACTAAACATATACACGCATAACATGCACAAGCGTCGTGATACCGAGTCCTGTCATTATATACTTTGATTTGTCTATTTTGGGTCCGGTTCAAATTGCCAAATAGTTGCTCCTCTTGTCATCTTCGTGGTTAATGTAAACGCTAAACAACACCGTAAATAAACTCCATCTCAAGAGGCGCCTTTCATCGAAATTCACGGAGTGATGGATCTTCGCACTTGCAGTGTAAAACTATGATAATTCTAAAAGAGAAGAGGAAGTGGTAAGGGCCGACGTTTCGGGAAGGAAGAAGGGATCTCGATGAAATTGGTGTTCACAAGGGAACAAGAGAGCCTCAATCCAAGGGTATTTCAGTCTTTTTATATAGAGAAGAACCCGTGGAAGAAGCAATTTAGGCCGTGGAAAAAGAGTTGCCCTTTCTAATCGCCATTGACATGACCTTCGAATGTTGTCTCGTCATAATCAATGTGTCCATCTCTTTTTAGACGTGGGAAAGTATCGAACTTTCACTCGACTTTCCAAACTCAGCTCCTCATTTCCTCCTCCTAATCCTTCCCAAATTTTCAGGGCGGCGCTCTACTGTCGCACCATCATGACATAAAAAGATTGTCGAATCTATCCAAATCATCGTATAATATCATTTCTCTAGTCACTCGGCAGAAAAACTTGAGAAACATGTTCTTTTCTCTTTGAGGTTTGATAAGCATCTTTACGGTTGCTCATGCTACTTACGATCTTTATGTTTGGACTAGTCTTCGTTGATTCGGTGGTGCTTGGAGATATACGTTGCTCCTCAAGGACAAGTCGCATTCATGATGCCAAACATTGTAAGTCTTTTCGTTTAGTTTCTCGTAGTGAAGTCAATGACAATGCTCCTGACAGCAACTATACATTATAACTACGTTGCCAAACCGGCCCAAATGGGGTCACTCTCATTGCTAGACCTCATCAATGAGAGAGGTTGGCGCGAGCCCCGTACTAGGCTCGAAAACTCCTATCCCAATCTGCCCATGATTGACGAAAAATGTTAAGTTTTCCTATGCAAAATAGACCAGATCTGAGCAGGCCTAATTAAGTGGCCAGGCAAAAAAAAACCACATAGTTGTAGATTGGGCAAGCAGATGAAGAGGTTGACAAAAGGGACAAAACAGCGAGAGTTTCAGCAGAAGCGGATGCAGAGGTTCGGTGATTCTACTTGCGAGAAGAAGGCCCAATTCCAAAAAAAACCCTCAACTTTACACTTTGTCCCAAATATACCCTGAACTTTTTTTTGTCTCAAGAAAAATCACAAACATTTATCTAAGTCCCAAATCTGCCCTCCCGTTAAAAATCCGTCCAAATCCATCGAAAAAAAAAAAAAAAAAAAAACAGAGAACCAGCAGCTGCGGCGGTGGCCAAGCCTTCGCCGGTGGCCGCCGCCACAGCCGTCGGGAAGGAGTGGCGGCCCACGCACGGGCCTTCCGAGAAGGCCGGCGACCCTCGCCGACCCGGGCGAGCCGCCCGGCGAGGGCGCGTAGCCAGATGCGGGGCGAGGGTCGTGCCCTCCCCCCGGATCGGGGGCTGCGCGCCCTCGTCGGCGAGGGTCGCCGAGCTTTCGAGAAGGCCCGGGGCGAGGGTCGGCGACCCTCGCCGGCCACGGGCAAGCCGCCGGCGAGCACGCGCCCCCAATGTCTGGGGAGGGCGACCCTCGCGAGGCCGGCGAGCCGCCGACGAGGCGCGCAGCGACCCACGATCTGGGGAGGGCGCGACCCTCGCCCCAGATCGGGGGCTGCGCGCCCTTGCCGGCGGCTTGCCCTGGGCCGACGAGGGTCGCCGGCCTTCGGGAAGGCCCAGGCGTGGGCCGTCGCTCCTTCCCGACGGCTGTGGCGGCGGCCACCGGCAAAGGCTTGGCCACCGCCGCAGCTGCCGGTTCTCTGTTTTTTTGTTTTGTTTTGTTTTTTTTTTTTTCCGACGGATTTTTAACGGGAGGACAGATTTGTGATTTAGATAAAAGTTTGTGGTTTTTCTTGAGACAAAAAAAAGTTCAGGGTATATTTGGGACAAAGTGTAAAGTTGAGGGTTTTTTTTGGAATTGGGCCCGAGAATAAAGCACATACCTGGGACATAACAGTATGAGAGTGACGTATTAGCAACCGTGGACAATGCGGTTTTTGTTCATAGAGTATGCGCCAAAAACAATATCACTGAAGGTAGAAAGTATCGCATCAGACTATTCAAATTCATTGACCTCTCAAGAAGAGGGAATAAGCTACCGACATGGTAGCCAAGTAGCGAAATAAGTTCACACGCGCAAAAGCGATTGCTTATCGTGAGGTAACTCTTACAAAACCGACCTATCTCTTTGCGATATACACGGATTCACCAATCTGATAACACATACAACGCGCGTTTTAGTGAACCAAAAACAGACAACTGGTGATTGATTAATAAATGCACTGCAAGTCTACTTCACGATGCATCTTCCTCGGAATCATCAGAATCTTCCTCAGATGTTAAGTCTGAACTTTCTTCACCCTCTTCTTCATCGATCCTGATGTCTTTATTAGCGGTCATCTTTGAAAGAGCAGCAGTCTTGCTTGCTCTCTGAGAACGGGCACCAACCGTGGTAGGAACAGAAGGGGCAACGGTGTTCGGTGAAGATTCATCATCAGAGGATGATGATTCACGCCTGACTCGCCTCCTTGTACGGGTTGCCCTGGTTGAGCATGGGACTGGTGTTTGTGGCACGGCAATGAAATTATTGACATCCAGCTTGAAGTCCACTCCCAACCTATCTGCATCATACATTGGGTGAAAGGAAGGTGACAAAATTGCAAGGGGGAAGTATCATTACTAAGTGCTAGCCAAAATTGTAAGAAAAGTACCGTATTCTACTGATCAAACTAGTTCAACTGCACATATAGCATTATTTGCTGTTACCTACTAGAGAATCACCACCATAATCTACAGAAACCATTCAAAGCTAGGCAAAAATGAAGGAAGCTCTCAAAAAATTGTTTGACTAAGGTCATTAGTCCTCACCAAATATAACATCTGCTTGTTCCTGCAAAAGTTCTTGATCTGGATGTTGATCTAGTGCCTTCAGACATTCAGAGAACTGCTTCATATCCTTTACAAGATCTTTCTCTGCTGCCACAATTACCAGAGCATGGTTTAAAAGACTCCTCAGCAACTTCACTGGTTCTTGATCTGATGACCCCAGATTAAGCAACACAAGTACTCTACAGAGTGCCGAGATATATGACCTCTCAGCAGCTGTCTTTTTACCAGGGAAACGAGCAACCTTAACAAAACATGAAAACAAATAAGATTGGGAAGATGAGAATTTAAGATCCCTGATTAACAGAGCAATGTTAAGAGCAAAGTTATCTAGGAATTAGATGCCTCTTGCCTATAGCTCAAATATGGACATAGTGAGTTGCTTGAGCTCTTTCTTAGTCATTAAAAGCACGGATATTTAAGGGATTGGTCCTGGTAAAATAATTCATTGCCAGTAATGAAATCACAATTAGAAAATCAATATAGTCAGCAACCGCATAAATTATAATTTTGAGGAAATCCTACTAATTATCGGCCATAAAAGTACTTCTACTGAAAACTCAATATGTTTAATGCCTCTTATCATTTGGTTCTAGCATTAAACATGATGATAAGCTACTGAGAAACTTACCTCTGCCGCTATGCGTATGGCAAGCCCCTCTTCCCCATGCTCAAGATTGGACCGTGCGAGGTCATTTCTGGCCTCAGCAGAATTGAGATTACCATCCTGTGTTTCACTCTCCTTTGGGTACATGGGAGTTTGCATCATTTGCAGCATATAACGTGAAGCTTGGACGGCAAGTTTCCGCATGTTAGACACCACAGATGGAGAATTTCCAGTATTTTTATCGATCCCTGGCCACATTGATCGCATAACTGGAATGAAAGCCTTGCATAAAACTTCCTGCATTTACGGAAATAACTATCTACTCATAAGAAAAGAGATGCAATCCTCATAGACACGTGCAGTAATTCATTGAAGAAGCTGGAAACTTTCTAAGAGAATCCATAACTTGCCTTATTATGTACAGAGAGAGCTGGGTAATGCTCGAAAAACACCGACAAACATTGTCTCAACCTAGCATGTAACAAAAATAATAGATTCACGAGGGTGAAAGGTGAAATAAAGTAGGATGAAAGGGATGACAATGAAAATTATGAGGCTAAAACCAGTATACCTCGGCAGGTCCTTCGTCTCATTGCTAAAATACAGGCAGATAAGTCTCCTTAGCACGGAAACTTGTGAATTTTTTGATATGCTTGGATACTTGTCACTTAAGAGAAGCATCTTTGCAAATCCCTCTCCAAGAACAGCACAAATCGACTCATTTTCGTCACTTACAGCTTTCGCCCAATCGTCTCTGTCAAATCCACCACATAAGAGATTAAGTACATCTGTGTTCACACTTTCCTCCATGTCTGAACCATTGGTGGGCAGAGAATCCACTTTTTGGTTTTCAAACTGTGTTGAATGATCATTCCCTTGGGCTTTGTCGATTTCTTGTGGACCATGCCACATCATCAGATCTACTAAGGCCCTACAAGCCTCTCTGCTGATAGGAGGAGGACCCTTGATAAAAGATAGCCTTAATTGCTTTACAAGATCTTCGCTCGGCTTCCTCTCCAACAACCCAGAGAGACCAAGGCATCTGATAGCAACCCTTTGAACATCCAAGTGAACATGCTTCGCCTACAAATCATACTCATGAAAATGTTAGAAACCTTTTCTTTTCCGAAAGCATGACACTGACCAATATAAAGTCATATATAGACAGATATTAGATGCATAAAGGGTAGCTTGGAACTGTTTTTTCCCTTTTTTGTGGGCATAGGTAGCTCAAGATTTAAAGAGGCAAGATATCACAGTCAACATCAATCATTTTCCACCTTCCTCATAAATAACCAAACTTATAAGTTCGGTGCCATCATCTCCAAGTCACAATTGCCACTACCTACACTGAAACATTTTAAGCAATACGGATTTCTCAGAGTCGTCACATTTAAAGATATACACAACTGAATCAGCTTATTCTGAGTAAATTAAGCTACTCTTACAAAATGTAAACTGCACAAGATGCTTTTTGAGTTAGACCCAAACTCCTGATGTCACCCAGAAACTGTTCAGCTTTCAAATGAATTTTGGCTTAAGTCCTTAGAATATAGGTGGCAAGGTTCTTGAAAAGAATGACTAGATGGAAATAAACAAATTATATAAGAGAAGCTTCTGCTTAATTCTTACCCCTGGAAGCAACAAGGATCGAAGTATCTCTTCAGGTTCAATAGCCTTGCCTTGAAGCCAGCGAAATGATTTTGAATTCTCTAAAAGAAGGCTAGTCACAGCAAGGCAATGCATCCACTGTAGAAAGTCAGCAGCTCTCTCCCTGCAAGGCTGAGCAAGTTCTTCTACAACCTGAGAGAAAACTTCTTCAAATTCACCTGCGCCAGAATGAACTTTCCTGGCCAAATCAGTAACTGCTGTAGCCCATTCTCTGTCTCCACCAAGATTTATACCATCTCCTATGGCAACCATATTTCCTCCATCATCTAATTCATGTTCAAGAGGCTTCTGCAGTAACTCTCCCAAAAAGGCTTTGGCAACTTTCCTATTTGTAGCATCGGAAAAATCAAGACTGGTACCGACCAACAATAGCTGCCGAGAAGCAAACCGATAGTTTGGCCCTGAAAAGGACCAACAAATCAAAATATATACATGAAACAAACTTCCCTAGTGAATAATGCAATTAACTTTCCTACCAGCATCAATATGAACCTTGACTAAACTGATGTAGTCAGATATTGTTGCAGGAAGTATTCTCTCTAGTAGGTCATTATCATCTGAAGCTTTTGCCGCACATACTGCCGCTTCAGTGCCCAATGCTGCAGCAGCTTCAGAACCTTTTTCCTGATTAAAAATAATTGCCATAAGTCTCAGAAGGTAAAAAAGAACTCAAGCAAATTATTGCGTGATAACTCCAAGACAAATAAGATAATACATAAGATTTGGCGAGAGAGGTCCTAAACCCAAGGAATCTAAGAGTTTGACTAAGCATAGAGCACAACATATTAAAATATTTCATAAACCAATATGTAGCAAGTAGCCACTGATCTGACTTTGAATTGGTTAGAAATGTTCACCAAAATAACACTAGGCTTTTTCAAGCAAAGCCAACCGACAAAAATTGATTGTGTTATGAGCATACCCTAAAACCTACTATTCTAGCAAGAAGAGCAAGTATACCACAAGTCACAATTGAGCAAGTGTTTTATACACGTTACCTACAATGTTGGTCTCATTCTATAGTACAGCTTCCTGACTTCAAACACTCTCATGTGAAGAAAACCACAGTCAAACTATGAGACTCCTCATCTTGTATCAGGGAAAAACTGAATGGATAAAAGGCTTACTCATTGATTTTCAGAGGGATCTGACATTGTCAGGATAACCCAAACCAGCATTAAGCAGAAAATGATCGTGTCTTTCCAAGTATATAATCATACAACTAAGAAAGATCATTGTAAAGATATAAAACAAATCATGGATAGACAGTCTTAGATATGAGAACAAGAAGATACTATTACAGCAACAGAGCTGTATAGCATGTCTAGTGCACCAGTTTGGGATAAGATTTAGAGAATTAACACATCTAGTGATATGTCTAACTCAAAAAGGTCCGATGGCTTTGAAACTTTCCTGAGTGAAAATATGATGTGCTTAACTTTAATCACGTAATGAAAATCTATAGGATTCCATTGGAAGATGAGCTAACATCATGAAGTGGGAAGATATTCATTCCCATTGCAAGATATTGATGAAACATGATGCTTGTTTAAGATTAAGGCATGTGACGGCTATGCAAGTTTTCCAGAATTTATTAAAAATGCCAACCGTTGGATACCTTCATAACATTATAATACAAGAATCGTCTTCTTTTGCAGTAGAATATACCAAAACATATATTTTTGGAAAAATGGAGTGTTTGGAAGCTCCACTTCCATATTCATGCTCAAGTTAACTCAAATTGAAATCGAGGACTGTGATTGTTATCCATTTAACTGAGATCTAAGTACCTACTGTTTACATCTGCCGAAAACATGCCATTAATTGATGGACTCTAGTTCTAAAAAACATAAAAGTGACTATTGACAATGGAATTACTTGATTGGAAAAAATAGATATAAAAGAGACTTTCTTGACAACAGATTGTAGAAATATTGGAATCCCATCCCTTCCTAAAGAAAATCAAGCGTAAAGCATATCAAGAGAGTCTGACACAGTCCTGTCCGTACATGTGCCTCAGTTTGTAAGTGCCTGCAAACAACCCTCCAGTAAAGAGCAGCTTCTGCTTCCATAAGTCTGTTGTTTTGGGTGCCTGCAGATAATTCCCCTGGATTTAGAAACCGCAGTGATATCTAATATGAGGTACCCACAGGTGCTTCTAAGTTGTATCATAACCAAAAAATAGATGAAACTACAACTGTTAAGAGTCTCAATAGCTAAGTAACAAGCTAGATGATTAACCTAAGTTGATGAAAGGGCTTCTACAGACCATCTCCATGCTTGATGAACCAATGTTTTAACCCAAACACTTGGGTAGTGCAGGCATTGTCAACAAGTTCAATTTGAAGAGGTCAAGTATCGCTGCCTAACTAGTTAAGGGTGTGTTTATTTATGCTTCAGCAAAAGGCAAAAGCAACACTAGCTTTTTCCTGCCAATTGTTTAAAAATATTATATAAATTTGGATAAAAATTATGTGAATTTACTAGTCAAAGTTTATATATGGTGAAAGCTTCAGGTATTAAGGGCTCAGAAAAAGCCAAAGTAAGTCCATCACAAGATTTGGATCAAGCAAAAAGAAAAAAATAAAAGCTTATCCAGACATGCCCTAAACTGTTTGCATCAAATAAGACTTAGGGCTTTGATTAGATGTCAAAACAATGAGAAACTGTAGGTGAAACTCAGTATGCTCAACTTCACTTTGCACAACTTGTCTATATATGAAAATATATATGCATGTATGCGCTTGAAAAGACCAAAAGGACACGCTCCTTTTGCACATCTCTCTCAATGTGGGTTAATTTCATTATTCAAATCCTTTATAAATTGAGCAACTAATTTATGTGGAGTACAAAACTTTTGGCATTTGTCATTGAACAATTCATGACCAATTTTAGATTCCCAAACAGATATTTGTTTCTCCAGGAAGAACTTGATAACTGCAATTTCCAGAAATCCAACACTAAAGAAAGAGCATGCCAAGTGGATATCTAAATATGTTGGACTACGTTGTGATTGGAAAATTCAATGGCCGTACACAAATCCCGTAATAAGAATCATGAGATATATCACATTTATTCAAATGAAAAGAGCACAAGATGCATTGATGAGGGTTGTATGAGAAGAGACTACAAAATAATCACTTGAAATATCAATTAATGTCTGAAAAGCCTACCAGCCTCAGTTTTGTCAGTGTGTGATCCTATGTAGTGCTGAATGCTATCATCTTCATGGATCTTTACGAATCCTGCTTTCAGCAGAGCCTCGATCACTGACTCACTGACTGATTCATAAGTCTCAACATCAAGATACTTCAAAAGTTCAATGGGGTCTCCCTGGCAACATTTGAGGAGCCATTCATCTCTCATCAACTTAAGACACTCCTTTGCAACAGCAACCGAACGGTCAGCAAGACCCCTCCGGAGAATTATTGTTCGATGCTTAATACTAGAAAAGTCAAAATAAAAAAATGAAAAACACAAAAAACAAGGGAAATAGTTAAGCCATTTTTATGTGAATTACATAATAATACAATGGAAGCATATTAGTTGTATGCCCTCGGAAGCCAAATGATGCAAGAAACAATCTTGCACAGTCAACAGAAACACTAAAGATCTAATAACCAGAAAATGCACCAAATTTGACCAGTAATTTGCAATTAATATTGTTTATACTGCCGGACAACTATGGAGATAAGGAAGATAAAAAATAACAACAGGAATATCAAGAGATAAAAACAGGAACTTACCTAAGGCTTTGGAGGGGAAACTTATTGGCTAAAACACAGTAGGATGCTTTACGTACTGAATCACTCACATCTAGGGTACAATCAATTATTGCTTGCGAAGTTGCATTTGATGGCGGCAGCGATAGCACCAATGTCTTACGAACTTCCTGCTTATGGGCGTGGAGGACCAGGATTATTAGCAATAAGAAAAAAAAAGTTGCTACTAAATTTCCCTATATGCTAGTCTTCAAAAACTGATAGAGCAGTACTTATGATTGCAACTGAGCAAAGCCGCAAGAAAAGAAGAACTTCCTTTATAATTGCCATCGCTCGATGGCAAGTTACATCTCTTATGTCACCAACTAACAAACAATGATGATGTAAATAATTCACCGAGATTATTGCTTACAATAGCCAGGTGAAGCTGCCGTTTGGTCAATGTATCTTTATTGCCTAACGGTAGCAAGTACTTCTTAGTTCTACGTCATCTCGGCAAGTGCAAATAAGGTATCTTGACCTCCATCTTCAATAGCAAAACCCAAAAGAATTATCTAAAATAAGAATGAGCAAATCTCACCGCATTGGGCTCCAATGAAATTGCTTCGAGGAACAAATCGAGGATGTCGGTATTTTCAGAATCATTCACAAAACGCGAAAGAGCTCTAATCGCAAACATTCGGACTACAGGGGCCTTGTCTTTGACTCTAAGAATCATGCCCTCTATCACCTCATCCCACACTTGATTGTCCACTTCTGCATCATCTGGAAGTCGTAATATAATCTACAACGACAAAACAAAATTAAAACCAGCATTCTTTACCATAACATGATTCGAAGAAAGAATTTCCACAGGAAAACAAAATAAAACAGTAAATTTAGAGAAACAATCCTTTGTTAACTTTTTCTTGCCGAGATACATGCTTCGAAGGTAAAAATTGAAGTATATATTCAATGGAATCAAAGCGAACTATCCTAGTTCTATCTAAAAAATGCTTGAACGAGTAATCGCCTCATGTTTCTACCTCTCAAAATATCACTCGGTCCTAAATTTATTTCTCTGTCAAAGTAATTCTCAGCTGAAGTAACTTCAAATTAAAATATTTCTTCTCATGGGGACTGAATTTCAGAGTCATTACCTCCGAAATGATCTGGCAAGCGCGAAACCTCACTGTCTTATTGGCGGCGGAGGCGGCGACAAGGAGGGAACCGAGGAACTTCTCCAGGAAGGCATCGTCGCAGCCGTCGGGGGAGGCTTTGGGGGCGTGAGCGCCGCCGGCGAAGGCCGCGACGAACCGCACGATGCGCTCGGCGGACGAGTTGCGCTGCCGGAAGTCGAAGAGGGGAGCTAGGGCTCGGGAGAAGGAGGCGAAGAAATTGGGGTGGGGCCGGAGGGCCGAGAGCTCCTTGAGCTTCCGGTTGTGCGTGGCGTGCGAGGCGCGGGTCTCGTCGAGGATCTTGGCGATCTTTCGCAGCAGCCGCTCGTCTCTCTCTGCGGCTCCGTCGCCCATCGTCGGCGTCGGCGTCGGCGTCATCGTCGTCGTCGTCGTCGTCGTCGTCGTCTTCTTCTTCTTCGAGGGATCGAGCACGAGGCTGCTTTCAGATTCCTTTTCCAGGAAAATTTGCTTTTTGTTTTTTGAATTCGGGCGGGAAAAATTCGGACCCGGGTGTGGAGCCCCTTTTGAGTTTTCTGGGCCGGGCCTCCGGATTTCAGAATCGGGTATGGGGACGAAGTTCTGAGGCCCGTGGGCCGTTGATTTTGAATGATCGAGCCCATTTATCTTACTGGGCCGGGCCTCCGGCTATATCTATTCGGGCTCTCTCTCTCTCTCTCTCTCTCTCTCTCTCTCTCTCTCTCTCTCTCTCTCTCTCTCTCTCTCTCTCTCTCTCTCTCTCTCTGAATTCTTGATTTTTGTTTTTTTCTGTTTTCTCTAATCTTTGATCTTTCATTAGTATGATGTCGCCAATACGGTTCCTAAATAATTAGTTTTAAATCATTCGCGTGCTTTTTTATTTTCTAATTGGAAAAGCCCCCCTACTTTTTTAGAAACGATTATTGTTCACTCGTGAACTGATCCGATTATAAAATCGACATGAATTTAACGTCGTCAAAGATTGCTGGCTGGCGTGGACTCTCTCTCTCTCTCTCTCTCTCTCTCTCTCTCTCTCTCTCTCTCTCTCTCTCTCTCTCTCTCAGGCACAAGAGCTTTTTAAATTGGTTTGTAAATTTTGCTAATAATATAGATCTCCTAAGCTCCGGAATCAAATAATTTCATCCAATATTAGTACCCACGTTTTCTCTCTTGGGAAGTTTGGTTACCTAATTAAGAGAAACTATTGCATAAACCAAACACATGTACCCAAAAAAATATAAGTGGATCATATCGAATTTTCTATTTGTTCCTCGGCATATTAAGCGATTTGGATGGGCTGGGTACATCGGACGTAAGCTTAAACCCGATTGTATACAATAATAAATTCTCATGGGCCTAAACTCAAATTCGCCACTGGGGCACTTTTGGCCACTACCGCACTACCGAATCATGGAATTGATACTCTGATTTGCACCGAGAAAAGGTGAGGCACTGCATCACAATGGTTGGATGCCTATCCATAACTGTTGTTCTCATCCGTGCATTGGAATCTATTCTGTCCAGCAAATCGAAAATTAACGGTTTGATCGAGCACGCCTCGGCCACACCCGAACGAAAGAGCCTAGCTCCTACTTCCCATGACCGAGGCATCGATGTGATATTGCACGTCAATTGCTTCGATTCTTCGAGACGGTAAAGATACCCGATCGAGCCCGTGACCACATGATACGTCCGGGATTTTGTCCGGGACAAATCCGTGATTGAATGGTGGGTGCCGAGTCAGGTTTCGGTCGATTCATCCACCACCAATAATGCAGGGCATGGGGAGAGGACTTATTGCAATTCTACGGGGAATGCATCCAAACATGGAAGAGCTGCGGTCGCGATAGAGCATGACTCGTGAGAAAAGGAAGCTCTTGTCCAATAGTCCTACGATGGACTCCACGTAGATATGCTCTATCACCTCATCTTCCGTCGCCAATGGGAGAGAAAGAACCATATCAACATGCCAAGGAACAGTGGCCACTAGTTCGAAAGAAATCTCAACTTTGCCCGAACTAGCCGTGGACAAGAACCTTAGGTGTCCACATAGACCATAAAAATAATGGTTTTGTTCCTCCTCAGGTAAGGACTTTTGCAAGCGACATGTGCGCGGACGTACGTGCTTGTTGAGTTTGGGAGACAATGATGTTCTAGAAGTTACCCGTGTCTAGTTCAAAAGAATGAATTCGTTGCAAATTGATGCGGATGGAGTGATGGTGAGTTACGTGGAAAATAAGAAGATGGGTGATTGAGATACGTTTTAGAGGTAAGGTACGTGTCATGAAGCATGATCTCATGGTGTAAATGAAGTGATACCACGACATATCTTGATTCTATGGCTGTTTTTCTCCACTGGAACATCCCGCCACAACTCTCTCGTAGCTGCATCGAGCTTGTCACAAGTGTTTCTTGGCAACTGATTAGATTGCATAGCATAGATTGAAGTACTTCGAACAACCGATCGAATATACGTCGCTCTACCCACCCAAGATAGGGTCTTCCTCTTCCAAGGGCTAAGTTATCAACCTTCTGTTCAAGAAATTGGTGTCTTGCCCTACCATTATCGGGTTTAAAGAGAAGATTACCAAGGTATAAAGCGTCATGATCAATCTTTTTCATGTGGAGTTCGTCCATGCATAATTTTTTCATGCCTATGGAAGTATTTTTTGAGAAGAAAACTTTGCCCCTTGGCCCAGATTTTATGAAGACACAGCTCAGGGGGTATCAGCTCGTCAGTTTGGAACTTCACATCACAGGAGGAGATGGTACACCACTTCCTTGACCAAGGCAGTTTGCATAGAGAATGAGCTAGGATTGCAAACTCTTCGCTCTTTATATAGCAATTCTCTATACTTGAATGTGACATTATAGGAATGCCGTGCTACATGCTCAAGCAACTCCAAATCATTTCCTAGCAATCAAGCCGGTCTTATAAGTTCTGACCAAAAAAAAAAGCTTTCATGGAATTTTCAAACAAGCAGAGGGAAGAGACCAGAGTTGAGATCCGTTCAAAAGTCAATTCTATTGAGGAAAGGATGGAGTCCTCGCTCCCACCGTCATATTAAGGATTGAAGTTTAATGTAGATGGTACGTGGAAAAATAATAAAGAAGCTATATGTATTATCGTATGATTGGCAAGTGACTTAGGAGTCCAAACTTGGATAAAAGGAGGAAGATGGAACTTGCTGGTGGAAGTCGAAGCTACACCTCTTCTTCTTGCTTGCAATTATGCTTGGTCCCTTGGCATCCAAACATTGGGTTTTTTGAAGTGACTGCAAGGTCTTAATTGATGTTATCCATTAAAAGGGTTTTTGTCCTTAGAGTATTCAACCTTTTGTAGCTAATTCCCGCTTCCTACTTCAACACAATCTAGGGTGAAGTTTGGCATGGACCAATAGACCCAATAATAGAGCTGCTCATGCACTTGCAAATTACCTGCTTCTTCCTTTCCTTTTCACTATGTCCCTTCTAGAGTTAAAAATATTATTTTAATAGTCTTCTTCAGTTTATCGTTCCGATGAAGGTGCTTGATCCAATTTGTAAAGTTTTGTTTGAAATGGAAAGTTTATTCTAGCGAAAAACTCTTTCTTATGGCGTGTTCTTGTTCTTTGGTGCACAATTCAGGCTGCCTTAGGGAATGGCTTTCTTTAAAGCTCTTGGCCAAATGCTAAGACGTTTGGCAAATTTTCTTGGAGAGATTTGGGGAAATGCATTGCATTTCCAAAGTTCCTTAGCTCAACAGGTTTGTAAGAGCTCTGGGCTTTAGCATTTCCGAAATGATAATACATTTTTCTTCCAATTTTGCCATCGCTATATTTTCACAAATTTCAAAAGTGCCCTCACCACCGACCACCTCGTGTGACGTCGCTAACGAGCCTCACCTGAGGTTGCGCGACCCTCATTGGGGACCGTTTGGGGCTATACGACCTCAGGTGACGACCGCCGGGGCCAAAACTGGCTTGCTGGTTACCTGAGTCCTTTGCTGGACGCCTGCAAAGGGTTTGAGTTCTTTTTAAAGAAAAATTGCAAAAGTCCTTTATAAGTATAGTTTTTCCAAACACCATATGAACCAAAGTGTTTCCCAATGCACTTTTAAATTACACCTTACCAAACACAATTTGTATCTCGAGAAACCCTTTCAATCTAATGTAAACCCCAAAAGTTGTGGCCATAATCATATCAAATGACTTTGGACACTAATGTAACTATATCGGTTTTCGATTGGAATACATTATTGCAGAGTTTGGTAGAGGAAAGTACTGTTAAAGCTGATAGAGGAAAGAATTACTAAGATTTTACATGTAATTTCCGCCGTAACTTTGTATACAATAAACTCCTGATATTTATTGTGGCGATATCTCTTGTAATGTAACGTGCTGATGGAGGAAAGAATTACTAGCAGAAGCATTGCACTTGCTTAGTAATTTAAGGGTGAAGACATCTTTGCTCATATCATCTAAAGTTCAACAGTATTCGACCTCTGTTTAGATACAAGCTAAGAAGCTCTTTATCTAATCGTGCTTGATTGTCGTGAAGTCAAAATTACACATGTTTATAGAATTAGCATCTAACGGTATCGTACAAGTGATAAGTGTATCCGGAAATAATCATCACTAGAATCGTTAGATAGCTGTTGTCTAGACTAGAGTCGACAAAATATGTTGTTCAATATAAATGTGCTCGATGTTGAGAGAGGAGATTTATATTCCATTTGTTTCGCGAAAAATGAATAATTTAGTCCAAAAAATGATCACTTATATTGTTTGAAATAATAATTAGTCAATGAATAATGTTTCAGTATCGACTATAATTTATTTCTAAATATTTCGTAGACGGCAAACATATTTTTCGTTTGTTCATTTTTGTATGCAACACAAGTTATTATTTTTAAGAAAATATATCTCAAACCATTGATTTTCCAAAAAACAAACGGACCCTTATCCCCTAATTTAATCGGTCAACTACCATGGTCGATAACTATAACTGTAGATAGTTCGAACAGAGCGAATGCATCAAATGAAAGCGGGACTATTAGTATTTTCCTTGGAAAGCTAATGACTTTTCAGGGTCGGGATTTGATCAACCGATCGAATTAGTTCGTGCAAACTCCGTAATGTCAAAGTCAACGCTGTCCGTCTTGCCCTTTCACAATGTCATTCAACAATACCGTCGCGTGAACACCTACTTCTCTTACCAGATCGCATCACGCTACCCCCAACAGATACATTTTTGCTTCGTGCATTGTCAAAGGCGTGACATGACTAGCCTGAGCGATCAATCAATTTAGTCAAACGTCGACCATTTTCTCGAGGCGAATGCAGAGGATGTGATGCCAGGACTAGACGCCGCAAATTGGCCGGCAGCAAACTTTGAATAATCAAGTGATTTGCGTCGAGATTATAACCTCGCGACATTTGATAAACAGCAACTTGCAGC